CCCCCTTTTTCAAAAATTTCATTTGAAAACATTAAACTGTTGTAGCTTTCTATATATACTTTTAAAGGAGAAAGAAGACAGAGGAAACTTGTAAGTTCATGCTAGGTATATCGCTAGGACTAATTTGTTTAGTTTTGCTTCCTTTTTCCATTGTTTTATTCCGTAAATTATTGTCATTAGGGGAAAAGCCCCCATCAAAATCATTGTGTACTGGCTGCTTCCTGTGCATTTTGTGCTTATGTGTATCCATGTAGAATACTGATGAATGAAATTGAGTGAAGCCCTGCTAAATTCTATCTAGAAAAATATAAACCATAGTATGCTACCTTATTATATTGTTCACAGTCTAGAATCTAGATTTTGCTGAAACTGTGGCATATGTGTTGGCATCATCATGTGAATAGAATTTTGGCAAAGCAGTAATTTCACCAGTCTATTTGGCTTAAAACTTTAACTTACCTGGATTTTGGGGGGAAGTTAAAACATTGGAAATCATAGCTGTCATATAATGGCTTTGAAATGTATGCATTCTAAATTTCCAAGCACTACATTTCACCCATATATGCAGAACTTAAACATGTGGCCTATGCTATTATTACTGGAAACCAATGCCCTGGTGTATTCCAAATGTTGAGCAAATAAACTTCAGCTATGTGTGCAAAATATTAGGTGCACTGTTGATTCCTGCTATTGCTGGTAATGTTGCTCTGTTTGTAACACCATGCACACACCATGCTAAATCATATTATAACAACCGGTAGCAGATAGATCAGTTTTATTTACCTTTTATTCTTATGACTTATCTATAAAATGAGGTGTAGCTCTCTCTTTAAAGTATAGCGGTTCCTTTAATGCCAATTTGAGATCTAACATAGCAGTAAAAGGGAGCATTTAACTCTGTTACAATAATCTGTTTGTAAATCTGAATATGCGGTATGTGTAATTATATGCATAGGTCTCTCTTTGTATCTAAATTTACACATACATATACACCTTTATTTTTACCAAGCTGGTTTACTTTCTGTTTAGCTAATCATAGTTGTTGTTTTTTAATCCATTTGCTTTAGGGGGTAGTTCAGTGACTACTTTTAATTGGTTAGTTCTTTGCATGGAACAACACCTGTGTAAAAGGTTTACTCAATCAACCTTCTTATTTAGGATTTTATTAAAACTTGCACATGAGTAGGCATTGGATGAGGTCTCAGTTATCGTTATTAAAATTCATGTAAGAATGGTTTCACTTTTTTGTTGTTTTGTTTTTCCTTTTTCATTGAGAATGGCAGCATTCATTTTTAGAAACAAGAATTTCACTAATGTACCTTTGACTTGACATGATTCCCGATTAACACTTTTCATCCCTCTAGGAGCTTTGCATTCCCTTATTTCAGACATAATCATGTAGCTAAATTCATTTGGAGGATTCTTTACAATTAAATAAAGTGAATTCTTCACAGTCATGAAAACATTTCACGTGTCAACAACACACAACTTCTGTTGGCATACTCACTACTGACAGTTATTTTCTATAGTGGAATATAGGTATCAAGCTGAAGGGTTTAAGCAATGAATGTGTTAAACCCCACTAAACTTAATTTTAAAGTTTAAATTGGTTTATTATTCTGAAGAGTATCTGTTTAAACTTGTGCAGTGCAGTTTAAAACAATACACATTTGCATTCTGGTTTTAATTAGTAAAATACAGGTAGATCTTCCCAATTGCTAATTATATGACCTATTACTGAGATGCATCTAGAAGCAGAATCAAGTCTGACATTCTTTGGTTTCTGTAGTCTGGCTTTTGGAATGATTTCCATAGGGGTTCAAACATACAAAACCATTCTGACAGAAAGTGTCATCCATACAATTATGAGAGAGAGATAAAACACCTTCTGTGATGAAACAATGCTGTGGAAATGATAGGTTGATATGTATTTTAAAAATATTTAGTCAAATCCAGACTACATTTTCTATTAACAGAAGGTGGCAGATTCTGCCAATTTCCCCCTTTTCATTGCAGACGCCCAATTTGCTCCATGCTTTTCCAGAGGTTCTTGTTCCCCAGGGCCATTGGGGAGCATTTCGACTTGCAACAGGATGTGGAAGGCAGGAAAAGTTCTGTCCCACTGAACAAAGTGCCTTCCATTAACAGAAAATTTAGTCTAGAGCCAGAGTGTGAATGTCTTTCATTGATGTGTTCACTGAGCAAGATGTAAGAATAATGCAGGCTACATCAATCTCAAAACACAAAGATCATGGATCCTTCTCTTATTCCCCTCTCCCCAGGAGTCCTTTCTCACCTTAGGAAGATTGATTCCTGGAGTCACATATCGTGCCTGAACTAATAGCCACATGGAGTTGCTGGGGGGGGGGGGGAGGAGGGGAGTGAGGATGCCTTCTCCTTCTTCTCTTGTTATTGTAGCTCCACTGGCATTGCCTTTTAAAGACCTGTTTTTTCCAGAAAGCCACATGAAGGTTTTTGAGCCTCCAAAACAGAGGTTTCTAAACACTGCCACAATTCATTAAAATAGGATATATTTAGAATAATATAACAGTCCATCATTTTTGTGGCTACTTGCTTAGTTCAGTCAAGGAAGGTTTGATTCATAGATCAGGCAGTCTCACAGATTTCGTTTCAGTGGTTGTTTCTAGTTGTAAAAATATGAAAGACAAATGTGTCATAATTGACATTGGTACTTCAATAACTTACTCAATCACTTGTGTAGCATGAAAGAGGTTTTGGCTTGCTATAGAGTTGTAGGTACTTTGGCAGCCGCATTCTCAGGACCTTCTTATGCATTACTTTCTCAATCTGCAAAACAAAATGTTTGCTCATCTCACGGTAGCTGTGAAATACTGAAACATGCTGGACACATTTTATGCTTCAGTGTTAAAAGAGCACTGTGACTGTGCTGCATGTTCAAATGTTATTTTTTTTCACCATGAGAAAAATTTCACTTCTCTAAGGGCAGCACAACAGCATTACTTGACTCTAGAAAGTTAATAAAATAACTACCATCTAGAAGAAGAAATTGTGGTGTATTCTTATAGTGTATTGCACAGCATTCATTGGTTTAGAAATAGTACAGTTAAATTCCTTGTACCATTTATAGTGATATGGGTTAGATTTAATGAGTTCTTCTTTTGTGCATTCTTTGCCTGCAGGAGAAAAATCTTTGGAAATATCATCTTACATTCTAATAGTAAAGTCAGCCAATCTTTGGAAATTTAAATCCAGGGACTGGAGCTGTGAACAGGCAAGACAGATCTTTCTACAAACCTGAAAAGGACTCTAGGTTTGCAGAAAAACATGCAATCTAAAAAAATTCATTGGAGGCTTCAAAAAGGATCAAAGAAGCGCCTGTGGCTTTAAGCAACAGATTCCTTCAGTGGCTATGACTAGGCAACTACAGTATTCTAGGCTGGGTTCTGCCAATAAAAGCCAGGGGGAGGAGGCAGGGCCCATTCCAGGCCTATTTTGGCCTTTGAGGAAGGACTCATTAGGTTAGGACCAGGCCTGACTAGGGTTGCCAGCTCCATGTTGGGAAGTTCCTGGAGATTTTGTGGTAGAGTGTAAGGATGGAGAGTTGCTAGGTCAGATCGACCTGGCAGCAGGGGAGGGGAGGGACTTTCCGAATGTGGTGGGAGCCCGCAATGTGCACACAACGTAATTACATCACGCAGAAGTGATGTCATCACAACGGCGATCCTCTGGTACTTTGAGCAAAACTATATGGTTACCATAGAGTTTTGCTTTAAAAAATGCAGAGTCACCTCGGTGATGATGTCACTTCTATGTGACATCATTACATTGTGTTTGGGGTGGGATTTTCCCCACGGTGGGGAAGAGGCCCGAAAATCAGAGGATCCCTCGCCCCCAACTGCAAAATGGCATCCCTGTGAGGAGGGCAGGATTTGGAGAGGGGAGAGGCCTCAGTCAGATATAGTGCCACAGAGTCCAGCCTCCAAAGCAGCCATTTTCTCCAGGGACACAGATCTCTGTCATTTGGAGTTCAGTTGTAATTCTGGGAGATTTCCAGGTCCCACCTGGAGGCTGGCAACTCTAGGCCTGGCAGCATCCTCTAGGTGATGATACCATCCAACTTGCATGACTCAACTGGGCCTGGCTGCTTCCTACTGTACTAAGTACCTGAAGGTTAAAAAAATATAAATGTATTGGCCCAATAATACTGTTAGTCAAATTAAAAATTAATAAATATAAACAAATGTACAAAAATATCAGGGTCATGGTCAATATTTGTCACTTTTGGATGTTATTGTACATTATCAGTGATAACTGAAGCTTTTGTGAGGGCCAATATCTGTTTTTAATCTACTGTGAAATAAATGTATGGGTATTTTTGTACATTTAATGTTTATTAATTTTTAATTTTACTGATAGTATTATTGGGCATATACATTTATATTTTCTTAATCTTCAGGTACTTAATTCAATTTGGGTTGGGTTAAGTTGACTTCCCCTATTTTTATTCTTAGTTGCTTCCTTCTGTTCAAGAGCTGAACAGAAGCAAGTGTAGTATAGTGGTTAGCGTTTCAGAGTAGGGTCTGTGAGTCCCAGGCTGAGATCCCCATCTTGCTGCGGAAACTGACTGGCTGATTTTGGACCAGTCACATACTTTCAGCCTAACCTCACAGGGTTGCTGTGCAGATAAAAAGGGGGAGATTTGGAAAAAGATTGTAGTTTTCCTAGGAGGAGGCTGCAGGGAGTGGAAACAGAATGCTGAAGACAGAGGGGCAGATAAAGGTAGGTTGGCTGCTGGGTAGGAAGGAGATAGGGTTGCCAACTTCAGGTTGGGAAATTCCTGGATATTTGAGGGGTGGAGCCTGGAGAG